AAAAAAGAAGAGAAGAGACTAAAGAGAATGAGACAAGAAGAGATGAGATTAAAATAGACCAAATGAGAGGAGAGATAAAGCGAGAGGAACGGAGTGAAAAGACAAGATGAGAAGAGATGAGACGAAAGAAGAACATTAGAGACGCAGAGACAAATTGAGACAAGATGAGAATGAGACAAGTGGAGACAAGGTGAAAACAGACAAGACGGGAGGAGAGAAAAGACAAAACAACAGGAAAGGACAAGAGGAGAAAATACAAAATGAGAAGAGATGAAACAAAAAAGGAGAGATGAGATGAGACAAAATAAGACAAGACAAGAATGAGATACAGTAAGAGACAAGAATAAAATAAAGAGACAAAATGAGAGAGACCAGAGGAGAAAAGAAACAGACAAAATGAGAAAAGATACTAGACAAAACGATTTAAGGAGAGATGAGAGAAGATGAGACTTTAAAATAAACAGATTTAATAAAACTGATGAGTGTATTACCTCTGTGAAGCTTGATGTTCTCCACCGCCGGCAGTGTGTTCCTCCTGGGGATGACGGACACTGTGGCGACCTCTCCATTTTGAGCCCCCACGGACAGCGGGCTGCCCCACTGTGTCTCTGAGCCCTGGCTGGGTTTGGGAGGTCTGGGAGGAGGCGCATTTGTGGAGTCGGCACTGGATGGCATCAGGGCATTGTGGTTCTTATCAAACGTGCGGGGGATCTGGTAGACGGAGCCAGGAATGCTGGGTAAATCATAGTTATCGAGGGCCCGCTGCTCACTGGTTTGGGGGGCTGCTAGAGTGTTATTGGGGGTTTTAAAGGTGTAGACATCATCTGATTCAAGCTCTGACGCCCCTTCTGAGCTGTAACCCCTGGGCAGAACATAGCAAGCGTCACGCGAGTCAGTCCGCAAAGGGGGCTGCTGATGCTTGCTGGGTTTGGGAAGGCTGTAGAAACCGTGAAGCTGGGCGCCCATGCCGTTCAGACAGTGAGAGAAACCATGCGTGAGTCTCTGAACCGCCGAGTCACTGCCCATCAGAAGACTGCTGCGCGAGGCCTGCGAGAAACTGGCACTCCTTTGGGACCAAAATGACATTGGTTAGTTATTTATGATGGACATATTTATTCAGTCAAACATTCGTTTATGATCACTTATTTTCTCACAGAGCCATTATTCAAAGAAATAAACAATCTAATCTACAATAGCCAAACTATTATTAGCCTTTGCTATAAATAATACTAATCTGTCATTCAAATGTTGACACAGCAAACTATATTTATAACACTGAACTGACCACAGGTCAAATCTTTTAATATTAAGCACAATATAGTATCTGTGTCAAAATCTCATAAATTAAAAATTGAATCTAATAAAAGAATGTATTTGAGGTCACATGACCTTATTATGTTTATGTGTGGCATTCAGTTATCATCTTGGAGGGTATTGTCTTAAATTTACTTACAACTCATTAATCACACTAGAAATGGAAGGTGAAGTCAAATGCATCACATTGTGGGATACAGTATTGCATGCAATATGCTCTGTATAGTGCATACAGTATTTTGGCAAATCCAATGCAGCACATTTGCATACTGTGCACAGTATCCTGCGAGAAACTGGCACTCCTTGGGGACCAAAATGACATTGGTTAGTTATTTATGATGGACATATTTATTCAGTCAAACATTCGTTTATGATCACTTATTTTCTCACAGAGCCATTATTCAAAGAAATAAACAATCTAATCTACAATAGCCAAACTATTATTAGCCTTTGCTATAAATAATACTAATCTGTCATTCAAATGTTGACACAGCAAACTATATTTATAACACTGAACTGACCACAGGTCAAATCTTTTAATATTAAGCACAATATAGTATCTGTGTCAAAATCTCATAAATTAAAAATTGAATCTAATAAAAGAATGTATTTGAGGTCACATATTATGTTTATGTGTGGCATTCAGTTATCATCTTGGGGGGTATTGTCTTAAATTTACTTACAACTCATTAATCACACTAGAAATGGAAGGTGAAGTCAAATGCATCACATTGTGGGATACAGTATTGCATGCAATATGCTCTGTATAGTGCATACAGTATTTTGGCAAATCCAATGCAGCACATTTGCATACTGTGCACAGTATTCATGCTCTATATTATTCTAGTATGCTAGCCAAGGGGGTCTTTAAAAAGGTAAACAGTGTTATTTTCGTATAATTTATATATTATTATGATATTTATTCATATTTTGAAGTAGCTTTTATTTGTATTTTCTGTTTTGCATACTTTTTTTTAGGTTTTCATTCAATATTTGTATTTATTTAAATGAGTGTTTTTTAAATAGTTTTAGTTAACAATGACAACACCTGATGTAAGTACACACAAAAACAAAACAGTATTTGTGTAATGTTAAGATTCAACCACTGAAGGCAGTGTTTCTCTGTATCTCATATAACAGACGCACTGTGTCTGGCTTACAGAGAGACTTTTTTTTTTGTCTGCTGTATGAATATATTGACTGTTAGTGCATGATGGTGTATGATGGAGAGTGTTTATGACACTCTGGGTAGTGATGATGAATATCATGGTCATTACCCCAGTAAAACTGGCAAGGCTGGTACACATTGGATAAAACATAGTTTGTTTACTTTCTGCAGGTTTTGAGTCAAATGACTGTGTGAAAAGACTTAGTTTGGGGGATGAAATAAATAGTAGGCATAGTAAACCTTTGATGGGTTTATTAGCCAGAGGCATTATAACACAATTCTGTTTCATTTGGCATTATTTCAGTAGGATTATAATCAAAGGAAGTGAATCAGGGTGAAATGACTGATGAGCACATCCTGTAAGTGAATCCTTCTGCAAACACTACAATATGTCACCGCCTGCTCCTGAATTTGTAGGAAGGTCTCATAGGTGTTTGTTTAAAGTTGAAAACACTTTCGCTTATGACCTAATAACATTAATATCCCTGCAAAGATGATCTCATATCCCAGTGACAGATGACAAGAATTAAAACCAATATATATCTATATTGAGGGCTTTGCTTTGCGACATTTTTTTTAACAATTAAACATTATATATAATTTCCTTACTGAAATGTGGGAAATTAACTCAATTCTGAAAAAAAAACATTCCCATTACTGTAATGAAAACAATCCTGTCTTAAAAACGATTTTGCTATGAAAGGCAATACAACAATGTATACTTTACAATTTAAATTATATAAAAATATTCATAATTTATTGAAATATATAATTATTTATTTAAATAAACATAATATTAATAATAAACATACAGAAGACTACTGACAGTTGAGGAATGCAGAGGGGTGTTTAGTTGTCATAAAATAATGCTGCAGTGTAAAAAATTATTTAGGATCAGTCATTTATTTATTGATTTATTGATTTATTATTTATTGACAGATTTTTTTGCATTTAATACACACTGTATTCTGTCTTTTATATGAACACCACCAAAGCATCAGCTTCCGATCAGCTTCCATCAGCAACTATGTTCTGTCGTAATGGTTTATCAATATCCAGCATAATTTTCATTACATGATTTTTGATCTATGCGCGGTTCTCTACAGATCATATACATCAGTACATGACAGCTCTTTAGATGAAGGATGACTCGTCTCTGGATGCTGGTATCTTGAATAAAGAAGGCACTCTGTATGGATCCCCGCACATTCAGGCAAGTGAGTTCACATAGAGGTTTTCAAGGGCCGGTGTGAATAAATCTAGATTTAAATTCAAAGAGACAGGATAGTCTGTGCATATTTTATTTGTATCCAGAATGAGGCAATATGAACGTCATGGAGCGCTTAACATTCTCATGCAGTGTATGTTTCATTCATACTCGTTCTCGTGCAGAAAGTCTAAGACGGACTCATTAGCCCCTTTCACACAGTAATATTAGTAAATTGCCGTAAAATTACCAGAACGACTTTGCTGGTAAATTCAAAAATGCGGTGTTCACACAGGCAAAACAAGTCAACGACATTCCGTCTTTTTACCCGTAAAGCACCATTCACACATCAATTTCAAAATACCGGTAAATTCTGTGACATCATTAACTGGAAATCACCTCTAAACGGCTGCGCCTCCCGGTGTTGTGTTTGAGCTTATTAGTATCATGTTAGCTTACCAACATGCTTATGGCAAACAATTATTGTTGTTGTTTTAATTTTTGTGTCAAATGTTCACATTCATGCAGCTGCTTTTGGCCCAGAAACATCGTATTAGAGGACTTTAGACATTTATTTTACTTCTGTAAACAGCGTGGAGTAAATGTGTCATCTGCGTCAGAATGTTATGATTGGCCTAGTGTAGACGTCTTACGTCAGCGTATTTTGAACTCGTATGTGCTCATACCGGTAATCTTGTGCTGCGTTCACACAGAGCACATTACCAGTAATTTACTGGTAATTTTACAACTTCTCAAACTGGTAAATTGCTAGAATGAATTTACCAGTATTTTTGAAAAGGTCCTGTTCAAACATGATCTTTTAATGGTCAATTACCACTAATTTACCAATAAAGACTATATGTGTGAAAGGGGCTATAGAAGTAATAACTAATGACATGCCAGGAAATCCCTAATATGGACAAAGGCATCCAGCTATCACTGCATAAGCTGAATAAAAAGCAAACATTTTGACTGATGAAACGTGAAGACAATAAACACACGATTGCGACACTATATATGGTTTATGTGTGTTTTGCAAGTCATCTCCAGGCAATAAATAACGTATATGAATAATGCAGTGCTAATTGCCATTGTCAACTCACACAGAACACACCAAAATGATTTGATTACAGTGCCACTTGTTGGTCAAAAGCAATAAGCCATTTAATCATATTACTAGAGGTTGTATTTATGATTTTTCAACCATTTCAATTACAATCATCCTAAAATTGCTTTTATTACTCATTGTTGCATTTGGTCTGATGCTCCATGCCATGCTTAGCTCCTCATTTTGCCTTTGGAGTGCTTGGCCCCATAATTGCTGCTTGCAGCTATATTTGAAATAGCATTTATTACAGTATAGCAACTATTCTGCCTTATTCTGTGATAAAAATGGAAAACAAAGTGTTTGTAGTATATTGGTTTCTTCGCCTATTAAAAGTAATAAATACGAGAAAAAGAAAACTTGTCAATAAAAAAAAAGGTATTACATTTGACATTTCTGTCCCCCTCACTTCTGAAATGATGGCTATGCCCCTGGATGAATATGTGTGTGAGTGGAAGAGTCAGATTAATCTGCTGAGATGGTTGAGTAAGCTTGACAGGAGCATCTCTGAATTTTGAGTATTTTTAACAAATATCATTATATATTTACACAATATTTAAGTATATTCAGTTGTCCTTTGGGGAATCGCACCACATGACATTTTACAACCTGAATTACCCTTGCCTACCCTAAAAAGGTGAAATTATCTGATATTTTAAGAGACTTATTGACCTTGATATGAATTCTGTTTTTTGTCTACATGTTGTACCACTTGAAATAAAGTACTGAAGCTTCCAGTACTGAAGACAATATCTTGTTAGTTTTTTTAGTCTAAGCTATAAGGGGTGTAATATGAGCACATCCCCAGAGATCATGGCTCTTACCGTGCACTCTCACTCTTGCGGCTCATGCACTGATGGAGGAAGAGGTAGTCCTGAGGAGCACTATTAGACAGCGAACTATGGGAGTGGCGTACAGGTATGTCGAATGTGAACAGCATTGGCTGGCTGGAGTGGGCAGGAACAGACGTTTTACGTTCACCAATCAGCGGGGCCAGAGAGCCACCCAGATCATTAGCCAAGGATCGGGAAATGTGGGTGGTTGACGATCTGTCATCTATAAGAAGAAACAAGAAAAACAAACCTTTAGGAGTTTTGAGACAACCAGTTTTGCTTTCATTTTAGTACACTGTGAGTTACCTCATAAGTCTTGGGCAAACACTCAACATTGTCACAAAAGCAGCAGGACATTGATCATCTGAATGTGAGAAGTTGAGCATATTTGATTTATTGACCCTAAGCAACGTGCTGATTTTTCAGATCTATAAAGTTCAATTACATAAGCCACATTTCGTCCATTTTCCCGCAGTGATCAATGAAGTCAAGAAAAAAAGTCAATTGAGGGTTTTGGGCAGTAATATCCATGTATGCATTCCTAAATTCAGTCAATATAGATGTCACATCTATCTTCAGGAGGAGCGGAAACACTGTATCTGCATTCACAGAAGACTGCAAGAATTATTATTCTAATGCTGCAAGTCAAGCCACTTGATTAGTATGTGATTTTCTACGTCATCGCAGCGCTATGTGAACATCATGGCCTTTGCTTTGGGCTGTTTCTCTGTGACATCCTTCATTTGTACTGTATGGGTTCAGCAAAGAAAAATCTCAGGACTCTGAACTTAAAATAGACCAGGCGGTGAGCCAAAACCAGGAAGTGCATATGACCCTCCTCCTACATCCACTCCAATCTGCCCCTGAGAAGGGCAGAGAGTAAGAGGGGAAGAGAAAGACGCACAGACAAACAAAGAGAGACAGAATGAGGAGGTAGAGTGGGCGGGAAAGCAGGTCTACTGCACTTGCACTGTAGTACAGCATGCTTGCAGCAATGAGAAACAAAGCTTCTATCCACACATCCTGGGAATTGTTGGGCACATTACACACTAAACTTTAACTATTGTGCTCAGTTCCAAAACTAAGCTTGTTGCCTACTGCATACAAAGGCAGCATTCTAACCATGAGCGATTTAGGTAGCAACTTGGCTAGCATGCATCATGCAAATATCACTCGTTGAAGTACACAAGAGACTCAACTAACACATGGTTAATTTTTAATATAAGATGACATTATCATGCCGCTAAGCTAATTATTAAGCACAACAATATATAGCACACACAAATATTGAAATCCAAAAGTTGCTAACCATGTTGCTAAGCTAACGTGATAGTCTTATAGGCTGAAAAATACATACCACAGTCAAGTCACCATTATTTCTATAGCACTTTATGCATACAGAGTGTGTCAAAGCAGCTTTACAGTGATAAACATGAACATAACAGAATCAATTTTGGAAACTCAACTATGAAGACAGATTCAGATTCAGATAGCTCAAGTCAGTTCAGTGTTGGTTCAAATCAGATCTATACCCAGGTGAAGTTCATCAATTTTGAAACAAGTTCAATTCAGCTACTGCATTTACCATTACCATATCAATTAATTACCGTATTATTATGTAGAGCACCTATAGTAGGGTGACCATACGTGCCATTTTCCCAGGACGCGTCCTGGCCAGGATTTCTATATTGCCTAAAATATCTAGGTTTTGGCTTTGTTTGCGTGTGCAGACCGATCGGTGTATGACATCAAAGTACCATACAGACGGTTATGCTTTCGAAACGCTCTCGAGGTACTTTGATGTCAAACACTGATCGGTCTGAGCCGCACTGCTTTTAAGTCGAACACACCTAATATGTACGCGTAATTGCATCGCTTTGACCGTAGATCCCACCTTCTCACACGCCATGATTGGTCCATTATGTACAATGCTTGCATTTTATTGGTCAAACTACTTTTCGATCATTACCTTCAGCAAGCATGAAAACAGGAAAACAAAGCCAAAACAAATCCTGGCCAGGACGCGTCCTGGGAAAATGGCACGTATGGTCACCCTAACCTATAGTTGAAGTTCAAAAGTTTGACATTAGCGTGTTTCTAGGTTAACGTGATATTCTAAAAGTCCAAAAATACATAGCACAGACAATACTGAGTTGCAAGACTTTGATGTTAGCATGTTGCTATGTTAATGAAATACTCTTAAGCACAAAAATAAACAGCACATGCAAACATTGAAATCCAATTGTTTGCCATTAGCATGTTGGTAAGCTAACATGATACTAATAAGCTCAAATAATACATAGAACACACAAAACATGTTAACATTAAACTTTGGAACTCAATATCTGTGTATTCGATGTAGTTTTTTATATATATATTTGTGTATTCTATGTAGTTTTTGTGCTATTGAGTATTTATAGTAAGATAATGTGATTCTCTAATAAGCAAAAAACCTTTTTGTTCATGTTTCTTATTTTCAGTTCAGGTCTATCTAATGATGTCTTTTATGTCATACCTGTTTCATGTCATGTGACCTTCTGTTCCCGTTTGTTTCTCATGTCATGTTTTCATTGGTTCATTGTCTTATCTCATTATTAGTTCTCTTCTCTCATTGGTTCATGTCCATTTGTCTTGTAATCTTGTTTAGCAGTTAGGTTTGTCATTGGTTGTTTATGTCATGTGATTAACCCATAGTCTTGTATTTAAGCACTTACTGTGGCTGTCAACATGCATTCAGTGTGAGACACACAATTAACACTGTTCTCACGCTCTCACACCACACAACTATTTTCTTACGCAGTGAAAACAACACCCTCAAACGAAAGCAAAATCATCCTCGGTTGAATCTGTAATAATAGGATATTGGCAAAACAAATTTTGTAAATGCTCCAGTATGTATTTGTGTTTGCGCTCTGGAAAGCATCAAAAGTTTATATTTAAACATGTTTTTGTAGTGTTGGGCAATATAGCCAATCACATATTTACCTGTTGATTTCTTGAACACATCTGATTGGCCATTCCATTCAAGTTAATCAGAATTCGCAGATTTTTTTTTCCCTTCGCACGCTCGCGAATCCTCTCATTGTAACAAAGTGTAGATGCAATGTAAATAAGAGGTTCATTGTGCAGTGTAGAAAGCCTAATTGATTATAATGGAACTTTGTGAGTTTCCGATGAACTGAAGTGACAGCTTTTTAGTGATTATAAATGGAGCACTCTTTGCATACTTTCTAGGCTATATAATCCATTAAGAATTTGAATAAAAAGTTTGTTTTTTTGAGCTGCTAAGAGGATGAACGCATTATGCATTATGCAATGTAAATGCAGAATAATAGATCAATAGAAAAATATTTGAACTTTTGTATCAACATGTGTGCGAAATGCGGTTGCAATTATTTGTAAAAGTAAGTAACGACTTGTAAATCTTTAAATTCTCACTGTACATTTCTATTTTTGTTGTGGTGAAAAGTTATTTTTCAACAGTGCAATATTTATTTTACATAATCTTATGATAAAAACACAGTACCAGTCATCGTGACGTTGACTAGCCAATACATTGCTGACAGTTTTTCTAACTAAACACCACCCAACCCACCATGGGAATTCTTACTCTAAGTTGAACTCAAAAGTTGGCAGCCCTGCTGTATGTTTGCCACGTTACTTTGTTGTGTATTGAAGTATGTTATACTGTTCTATGTTTTACGTGCCAGGTCATTGTTTGATGTCTAATCAAGCTCATAGTTCATGTTGATATTTTGTTTGACGTCTAGGATTAAGTTCATAGTTTGTTTATGTTTTTGGTCAAAACTGCACTCGGGTTCGCTATGCCATTGTCCTTGTCTGCTTCATGCCAGCAACAGTACAGTTAATGTGTTTATATTAACTATTTATGTATTGATATTTTGCGAGACTGAATAGAATACGAACGTTTTCCACTGAGCTTGTTGCAGTGCATTCTGAGATTATCTGTAATGCTGTCAGTTTGGCCAAAATAAGGTCTTAGAAAAACAGCATAATTTGCCTACGGTTTGAGATTGCTTTAGAGTGTGATGCCTTAAAAAATGGAGTAGGCTAAGTTAAGTTTACTGGGCTTCAAAATTTAGTGAACAGATTAAGTGGAGATGTTACAAGTCTTCACAGTTCTGGTAGGTCATTGGGGTTTGATTGACTACTAGGCTTGTGCATGTACGTGATAACAGTTCGGTACAGAGGATGGGACTGATTTGTGTCATAAATAAGGCCACATTGCTGCCTGGGGCACAGGGAGCGATGTACAGAGAGAAGATAGAGCTTCTTTTTTCCTGTCTTCTGAACAACAGAACACGACCAAGCCAGGCCACAGTGTCAGGGGTCTGCTGTAGGTCTTCAATTAGTCCATTGTTTCTCAGGAGCCCAAAGTTCCCAAGGCTACATGGAGCAACACTCTTCAAGTTGCTTCAGAGAGCTCTGTATATGCGCTCAACCATGACAGCGAGCTCAGAGTACTTTGTGACCCTCCTCTGAGAGAGGGAATGAGGTGCTCAGATCGAGATGGTTTGCATCTGTCATGTAATATGGACTAATGCAATGAGGTAAAGGCATTTTAGTGCAGGGAATGGCACATGGTTGTGTTGTATTTGATTATCTTGAAGCTAATCGCAAATGGAATGACAAGTAATAAGGAGACCCAACCCATGAAATACCTATGATAGCTCAGTGACAGAATTAGGATGATTAATAGGCCTTCTATTCACTCGACCATATCAAGGAAATAAGTTAGTCATTGTTGGTTTATTGGCTTCTGTTAAAGAAACCGAGAAAACATCAGTTGGATTTTAAAGTTGCCATGAAATGGAAGTTGCGACAGATCTTTTCTTCTGTGAACTAAATTTAAGTGAAACAGATTATCGAAAAAGAAAATGCATGACTGGGACTTTTCCATTAGTTTTTTTATTAGATGGAAGCAGATTTGAATGCAAACTTGTAGTTGAATGTAAGAAAATGGCAGAGTTTAATCAGACTAAATGATTGGAGAAGTCTGTCATTTCGGCCTGGTCTCATTGTTTATACGTAGGTATTAGTATGTAACATTTACAAGCACAAAACGTATGTTGTAAGCTTTGATTGATGCAGAAACGTACAATTTGGACGTATTACAACCACAGTAAAAAAAGATGGACGACGCACCTTCAATCTCTTCCATTGTTAAAAAGTGAAGCCGCCAGTGTCCCAATATGGCGTCGACATCTTGCGCTGATTCGGGACCCGAGTCTGCGCAGTAGTGAGCGAAGTGGAGCCACATCATCAAGCAGTACCACAAGTAATTAAAATGACGATGCGTTGCAGCCGCAGTCTCTACTCCATGAAGGCACACATTTCTCATTCAAACACACCTCACTAAAAACATGACATGTCGCAATCTGTGACGAAGCAGGTGAGCGCCAATGAGCATTCGATTTACCTACTGTACAAACCTGTCGTAAAGTTTATTGAAGCGGCAACTTTTGAATTTGTAACGAGCGCGTCAGCGCGGGTATTACTGCTTACAGTTACTGCTCAGAATGGAAATGAAGATCACTGAATAGAGGCTTGAGTTTGGCACTGTTCCTCACAGTTGTATGAATTCTGAAAATTTGGATTACAGTACACAAATAAAATTGTTTCTTTTTAAAATTATGTTGCGTTTTTTAGTATATTTTATGGTTTTGCTGTCAGTCACAGCCTGTCGGAGAAAACACATTTTGTGTCCAACTGCAAAGTAAATATTATGTGATAAGTAATGGTTAAACGATTGCAGAAATATTATTCATTTTAAGGTTTTAAACTGTAGTCTTATTTAACATTAAGTATTCTTCAAAACGAGTTGGCAGCAGAAATCACAGAACAGAACGAAATGTTATTTCATATTAAGTAAATGAGTAAACTTCATAACGCAAATGAAAACATAATGCCACTGATATGATAACTGAATACAATAAAATAAAATGTTAATGCCGTGATTTCAATATTCATAAGGATAATAATATAATAATAATAATAATACGTTTTATTTATATAGTGCCTTTCAAACACCCAAGGACACTTTACATAAGGTAAATAACAGATAGTATACAACATATAGATATCCAAACAGCAGACAGAGGTGAAATAATATGCAATATACAAGATAAGTTACAAAAGCATAGAACAGAAAATTAAGGCAAGTAATTAATTAAGAAACATTGTAAATATGTGAGTTTTGAGAGCAGTTTTAAAGGTCTGGAGTGAAGAGATAACACGGAGATCTTGTGGTAGTTTATTCCAGAGCTTGGCAGCAGAAATGCAGAAAGCCCTACCACCCACACTAGATAGCCATAATTTGGCTCCTGCAAGCAAATTTTTAGAGCTCGATCTCAAAGTACGGGCAGGGACAGAGGGGAGAATTAATTCAGAAAGGTAAGAAGGTGTTAAACCATGACGGGCCTTGAAAACTAAAACAAGAATCTTAAACTGAATACGATAGGTGACAGGGAGCCAATGTAATTGCTGTAAAACCAGAGTGATGTGGGCAGATTTTCTGGTAAATGTAAGAACACGAGCAGCTGAATTTTGGATAAGCTGCAAGCGACTTTGTTGGGTAGGCCATAAAACAAGGAGTTACATTAATCCAGATGCAACGTAATAAATGCATGAACAACAGTTTCAGCATCTTTGAAATTTAAAGATGGTCATAGGCGGACAATATTACAAAGGTGAAAAAACAGGATTTGACATGTTGATTGATGTGGGATTCAAAACGTAGACTAGAATCAAACATTATACCAAGATTGTGTGTAGTGGAAGAGGGATGGACTATAACTCCGTCAATGTTAATGGAGTAGTCAGGTTGGGAGGAGACAAGGGATCTAGGGCCAACTAACAGAAATTAATTTTTTTCATTATTTAACTTTAAGAAATGTTGGGCCATCCATACTTTGAGATCATGTAAGCAAGATGTAAAAGAAGTAGGGGGGGAAACAGAATTGAGCTGTACAGTAAAATAGATTTGCGTATCATCATCGTAACTGGAAATTTAGACCATGGCGCCGGATGATCTGACCCAGAGGAAGCATGTAGATTAAGAATAGAAGTGGACCAAGGACAGATCCTTGAGGCACTCCACGAGAAAAAGTGAAAGAATGCGATTTGGATTTATTAATGCTAATGAACTGTTGCCTGTCTGAGAGATATAAACCCTGCCACTGTAAGACAGTATCAGTAATGCCGATCTCCGACAAACGAGATAGCAGTAAAGAATGGCAAACAGTATCAAAAGCTGCACTCAGGTCCCCAGAAGGATAAGGGCACCTGAATCAGAAGCAAGCAGGAGGTCGTTCACTACTCTTAGAAGGTCAGTTTCTGTACTATGGAGAGGGCGAAATCCGGACTGAAATGTGTCGCCTCTGGCTTGCTTAGTTGGGGACACTTCATTTCCAGCGATATCGTTGACTTGATTGCAAATGATTGCAAAGATACTATTTAAACTGAACTTAGCTGGATGATGACATCACTGAATTCAATGATGAACTGTCTTTAACTGGAAAATTAGTGTTTACTATTGTCATTTTGCATTATTGACACACTATTTTCCTAATTAATTAATGCTGTTCAGTTGCTTTGACACAATCTGT